ACGAAAAAATTCTTATTGAAACCGAGAGAGGAGACCAAGTGAATCGAACGTAACGTAAGATACGATACATCGCTGCATTCGATAGGAACATTTGTTTTGGAACACATCTAGCAGAAGAAGAGGCGAGCCGTGACCCGAGGCGCGATGTTAACATTTATCTCGGAGCAGGAAGAAACGCGCGAATAGTACATACGTGGATCGAAATTCGCGATAATTCCTCTGTCGAAAGTGTCGATTCCATCGCTTTCGTTCCGCTGACGAGTTTCAATGCGAATGCGAATCTCGCTAGTGCTTCCTTATCGCGGCTGATGTACCCTTAGCAGGATAGATTGATACGATTAAGAAGATTGGCGAGAAGGAGGCAGACGCGATCTCAAAATAAATCCGGGTGCTCTAAAACCTTGATCTATGATTGTAACACGGATGAATGAGAATGGATGAATCATTACCGAATTATACTCCGAAGGCTTCGCATTAAATAGAACAATGCGATTGTTAAAAATATTTAATAATATGTTATACGCGCGTAAATATAGTGCAAAACTTACATTAGCTTATTATGCATTCTAAATCTATTTCATTAATGAAATAAATAAAAGCAATTAAAACAATAAATAACAATTGTTATTACATGATTTTAATTATAAATCTTCTATGTATTAATTTATTTCTAAAATAATACGTGTATTATTTATATACCTTTAATATATTATTCAGAGATTAAAATGGCAAACGTGCTATATATATTTCGCGATGCAGTACGTGTTTTTAACAAAACAATCTCGAATATTTTTCTCGTAAAGCGATACCGACAAATGCGGAAAGTATGTGGCGTTATAATGGCCCTTTAAATAACAAGATAATAGAGACACGTATGTGAGCGTTACTTTCAGATCGCATCTTCCAGACACCTCTCCAGGTTGCGCAGAAGTGGAAATGAATGGGCTGCGAAACCGCCCGGAGCATTCCGCGAATTTCTCAACGCGCAACTGCATCACACACATCGCGGCAAAGGAACAAAAACGGTGCGAGCACGCAGGAAACGAAAATTTATTGCGGAATTTGCAGGGAAGAGGACCGGCATTTCCGAGAAATAATACGCGTTGTTTCTCAGCGGCGCGAAGTTTACAAATGCGATTCGTTGCTTCGCGAAAAGAAAAATTTTGCCACTGCATGATAATCGCATATCCGGTTGAAAAATTGCAACTGTAAATTCTTATTATTTTTTAACGTTATAATTAAAAATTAATTGTTAATCTTGCTCGACAAATTTTATTTATTTATTATAGAATATGAGAATAGAATTATAATTTTGCATATTTTGTTTATTGTTTTATTTGATCGGATCTGACGAATATGTAGATTTCTTTTCTACTTTTATGTATTTCGGTTTGCAAAACGAGGATTTGACAACACGAACGGTAGCAACGTTATCGAGGGACAACATCCTGCATTCTTCACCAAGTAGAACTTGGTCGAAAGTATCGGCACTCAGACAGCTAAGGGCAGTGACTCCCGGGATCGCAATCTCGCTTGGCAGATCTGTCTGGGCCCTTGAGCCCAAGGGCGTATTATGACCTAACTTCTCTCCTTCTGCGACGAAGGGTTTCGAAATTAACGGACTCGAAAGGAAAGGAAAATATCTTAGAATCTCATAATTTATCAGATATATCAGAATTGCAAGGGTTATATACGTTTTATTATATCTGGTCGGATCTTTCTAACAATGCTATCACATTGAATATTCATGACAATTTAAACGAAAGCAAAAGATGAAGTATGATAATTTAAACGAAGCTAAAATTTGCATTTTCTGCTCCATCTTCTGAAATATTCTCAATATTCATGCGACACGTTGCGCATAAATTTTTTTATATACGTGTCAAAATTTTTCTCCTGATATTTTTGGAAAAGTAATCGCTTCGTCGTTCGCTAAGATAAAATTGGAAATTCTCGAGACGTTTCCATCTCGCACGAGAGTTCGGGCTAAAAGATCTTCGACGAGCATCAACCTTCTTAAAAGCTCCTGGGCAGGATGCTTCCCACCGATGTTGATGCAACCTCTTCTCAAAAGTCGACGTTCTTTTTTATTATTCATATCGAGCTCCCTATATGTAGCATTCCTGTCTTCTTCGCCCCGCGGTTCTCTCACTCATCACATTGCTTCGCGAAAACGAAATATGACATCGGTCGTGGATCTGTTCGAGCATGAATTTCCCGATGTATTTCGATTGAACAAGTGAAAGCTTTCAGATTCTTCCTTTAAAATGCGTAAATCTGTTTGCATTAATGCGAATGCATTTGAATAAAAAAAAAATTATCTTTATTTTACACAACGTTTGTACGAGATAATATTTTATCAACCATGTGTCTTTTAGAAAGCCTTATTGCAAAGAAAAAATATTGAAACACATCTTTTAATTCTTTTTTACTTTTTGTTCCTGTTATATATTCTTTTACATCTCGATATATCGGTCGTAAATCATTTACATTTTCTTTCGCGATAGAAAAGTTAGTAACGTTATAGTTTAGGAGATATGATGTATGTGAATCGCGGTATAATATTCTGATCAATTCGGACTACGCGAGTAACGATGCGACTTCCCAAAACTATCAAAGTTAAGGTAAGTTCAATGTCGAATTGTTTTATACAATGAAAGACTCAGAGATATGGCCGACGCGGTTTAAGGACGCTGGTTAGGAAAACCGGATCGTTCGACTGCCTCGATGGTATGGGGCGTGCCCGTTGTTCGAGTCGATGGATCCACTCGTTGCAAGAAGAAGGGCTTAGCGAACGGATGATAAATAATGACCGGCGGATATGCATTTATCAAAATGCAATTCGATGCAGATAGAAGTGAGTAGTGGGTGTAAATGGAAAAGGATTCGCGCGCGGATTCTATCGTCTCGGGGCAGTTTAAATGAAGCAAAGAGCTGAAGGATGAGATCAGAAATCGCCAGAAGTGTTGGAATAGGATTCTAACTATCTCAGTACATATTATGCGAATTGTAAATTAAAATAGAGTGGGGGAAGTAGAAGTACGCTCTCCGGACCGAAGAATCTCTTTCTCTTTCTTCTTAAGCGAGATGAGTATGCGAAGTATTTGCATCTTTCTTCAGGAACCTGATCTTCCCAACGGAAGTAAATATTAACTATATCTAATCAAATATAAGAATATTGTAAACAGAAGTAAATATGTGATGATAAATATTAGCTATTTTTTCTTACGTTTGCTTGTATCTTTCTTTTAGAACGTCATTAGTATAACGTTAACAGAATATTTGTACAGAAAGAGAAAATTTTCTTTCGCAAATATATTTTTATATTTATCTTTATAATTTAAATTAAATACCATAATTAAATTAAATAATTAAATACCATAAATAAATTCCATTTCACTCTTCAAGTTTATAATTCACAATTAAAGCATGTAAAAAAAATGAAAAAAAATGTCATTCAATTTCAACTCAATTATAATGTTATACTAAGATTTGATTGCAGCACCGATTTAAAACTACTTGTGAATCATATTCAATGATAGTCGCTGATATGATAAAGCGATAGAAGGATTGAAATGCGTAACGCGAGTTTTATACTCGTTAGAGCGAATCGTGTGATTGATAATATCGTATTAGCTTCTATTACACGATGAAGGCGATTGTATTTATGCTAATTAACGCGATGGTATTATTTCAACTGTTGCAATGCCCAGCAGCAATTGGGGTGCGGTTATATAAGAATCTTTCTCAAAGGGGTAATTAAGGCTACGTTCAACTAACAAGTAGCGCGGCAATTTATTAGCAAACTATGGCACTTCGTCATCGCAACGCTGCTATTAAACAGAAACGCAATCGATAATCTCAATGCTCCTAGCAATCGCGCACGTCAGATAAATTAACTATGAGATGCGCGATATTATTTTGGTCAAATATTTGCTCGCGCCAGTGATAATTGATTTATCGCGTGTACTGCATGTATAACATAGAAATTTTTTATTACATATAAATATGGTAATTTTTACGACGAAATCGCATATGAGTGAATATATTGAAATTCTCAAATATTGTCATTAAAATATAAATCATAAATATATTATAAATGTATACAATTTTAAATAATTTGACTCATATATTTTTTCCGGATATTTACTCCGGCATATTTACGCGGTTGAGATGAAATTTGTAAATTTCATTTTTATTCTCGACGATAATATTAGCACAGAGATAATAAAGAAATTTTGTTTTTTGCATGAAGAGCTATCGTTGCATAGTTTATTATGAAAATGCGCGGAAATTGAGGAGCAGATAATAATGTATCGCGGACTGCATAATTTTCAATTTTAATTTTCTCTACAATCAACGCGAGAAATTCGACGGTTAAAAAAAAAAACGATATAAAAAAAAGAAAAAACATGGGATAAAAGCATCGTTGTCGAAAAACGAGCTCGCAAATCTGTGCCTCATATCTGCTTTTTTATCGTGTCTCGACAAAAACCGAGTGCATGGATGCTGCGCCACTGGACATCCGCGCCGGGGCAGTTTTAATGGTACCGGGTCCTCTTTCTCTCTCCTTCTGATCGTCGAATTCGGGTACGAGGACCTTCGGAGGAAACTGCGAGTTCGGTTCACGCATCTGCATATAAATCACTGGCTGGACAGGCTTAGGGAACCGGCAGGGGCTATAATGCCGACCCGCCAACTGCGAAACATCGCCTTCGGTTCCCTTCCGAAGGGTCTTCCACTAAAAACGGCTTCCATACGGCCGCAATTTTGCCGCCATGCAGGAGAAGAAGGAGAAAAAGAACGAGGAGAAGAAAAAAAAATGATTTCGGAAACCAGAAGGAGAGTCACGCTTACGCGAGATGACTTCCTATCATCGTGCTACATAACTTTAACTCGATATGAATTTTGACACTCAATTTTTGACTCTCAATTTTAAGATGTTTATCAGTTCTCGTTCAGAAATTTTTCTAAGGAATTGCAAAATTCAAGAGTCTTACCTTAGCCTCCAAAGTCTCTAATTGCGCCATTCTTGGTTCCAATAGCTGCTGCTGGCTGCCAACTCCGGTGTGTAGTGCAGTCTGAAACAATTAATCATTAAATTAAGTCGAGATATATTAGGATATAATTAGGATATAATTATATAAAAATAACTAAAAGTTATTAATTATTTAAGAACATTTCACAACAATTTCATCATACATAGCATTTATAATTCAATGATAAAAATTTATCTTATTGTTTAAAATAAAAATAGAAGATAGATAAAAAATAAAAATTTAAATACTTTTGTATCGTGTTATTTTTTTAAGTAAATTTTCGTAAAAAATGATATATCAATAAGTATATCAATAAATATCATATATCAATAAATTAGCGATACGTTAGATTCAAATACTTATCACAATAAGAATGCTCTTTATTTTATGTAATCAAAGAAAAGCATGATCCCTGGAGTTAAATTCTTATTCACTGATGATATTCGATATAATCCTCGAGGGTATTGTGCATACTCTACATTCACCAATATTTCGTGTTATTGTATATACTCGTTGAGGACGTTAATAATTACGGCAGTCGTCAGCCCAGAATGAAATCGAGATTGCCCATCGCCTCTCTTCTTTCATGTTTGACGCAAACACGCCGGTATTATTTTAAACATGTCATGCGGTGAAATCGATATGCATACATAACGTCAATGCTAGCGCTCACACTCGAATTAAATTAATGCATATATTTAAATACATAGGATACATACAAAGCATGATAATAATTTAGCAACTCCATTTTTTAAATCAATTTTCAAATAGGAGAAAACAATATAAAGAGGAAGAGACTAAAAGTAAGAGAATAAGAGTCATTCTGTGAATATCTGTAAAAAAATGTAATTGTTACAAAATATTAAATTTTGAAAAGCAATAATTTGTTCTTATACATAAAGCATAAATGTATTTAACTTTTATTATGGTTTGCTATTATTCTTCATTAATATCGATTTTTTCAACACTATGAATTATTAGCGGAAGAATGAGAATACATGCAAATGTCTACATTTTTCACTTGCTTTTATTGCGAAGGTATAATCTTTATTAAAATGATTTTCTCGCTTTCTTCTCAAAATAACCCCTCGCGCGGAATCAAGAACAGAACATTGCGAACAGAACGCAATCATACTTTGCGATTCGCGAATTCCACCGGCTGATGGAAAACAATTTTGAGGTCGTAGATACTTCTGACAGAATAGTTATGATAAAATGAAAGTTATTGAAGGAAAAAATAATCGATAAAATCGACGCAAAAGATCATTTCCGAAAGCTTTTACATATGTTCATATAATTAATTTTTCTTAATGTCGCTGAATATCTAAAATTAGTTTTAATGGTTTTAATGGTTTGTTCTGCACTTAAAAAAAACAATACCTCGTTTAACTTATTCTTATAATAAATCTTTTCTTAGAAAATATAGTAGTAGGTAAAAACAAAACACTAAAAAATATTCGCCATTTTTAAAATTAAAAGAAAAGTAATCGTAAAACATAAAATACTTTCGCAAAATATCTGTGGAAAAATGATCAATATTATCAATTATATTATTGTTATATAATAAATAGTATATTTTTTGATGTACTTTTATATTTGAGATAATAAAAAATGAGATCACATCAATTTAATTTAACAACATTCCGGTATTCGATCCATCAGACTTCTATATATTTTGATATTACCTCCCGCCTCAATGCTGTCATTTAAATTAAAATAGTAAAATAGGACATCGCACATATGTACTAGTACAGACTTTGTGATAGCTAGACGCATCAAAATTTATGAGCGAAGTTTCAACGTCACGATAGTTAATCTTTCGTTATTCGTCACTGTCGGATTGTGATGTATGTGTTGCATGCAGAAATTCTGGCGTAGATCAAGATTTAAACTTTTTAATGCCCTTATAATAATCCATTTCATTATATGTTAAAAGACATTTATTCAGAATTGTAACAACCTTGTACTGATATCGCATAAAATTCAATCATAATCATTTTATGATAATATCATTATCATCTTGTAAATTAAGAAATATATATAAAATCGCAAAATATGCAAAATTAAAATAAAAAATAGCTAATAATAATAATTTAAAAATTAATTAAAAATTGGCAAATAACAACCAAACCGCGATAATTGGAAAAAAGGAAAGAACTTCTTTCTTTTTATTATTAATATATTTTAAAATACTCGTCACAATACATGCATTAAACACAAATGTTTCGGATTATTCTTTGATCCATATTCAGCGTGACATTTATTATGCATTAGAAAATTCATATATTATTGTCTAATGTTCTAATATATTAATAATAAACATACTGATAACAAAAAAAGAAGATTTTTCCCTTTTCCTTGAGCTCTAATTATTGCGCATTGGCTCTTACTTGTTAATTTTTAATAAAATATATTTAATAAAACAAAGCAAATTATCGGGCAATTATACTTTCTAGTAATTATAATTGAAAAAATACAATGCTAGTGAGCAAGAGTATAATTTAAAAATGTAAAAATTAATTAAAATTAAAATACGCGTTTTAATCGAAATTAAATATAAAAGCTGTCATTTATTAACGGAAACATATGTTTCTTCATCGATTATATGTGCGATAATTTTTAATTAGTATATGCACCACTTACGATCGCTAATGATGTGAATCTATTTGATGGTGAAAAAGAAACAAAATTGAGAACTCATAAAAGAGTCAAAAAAACTAATGTTCTCCGAGTTGTGCCATTAGGCGCTACATTTCGCGGTGAGTAATTGCGTTTGCGAGTAGATGAAGGTGCATATTTCTATTAAAAAATCAGACATAAGGAAGGGAAGAGCATTTATCAAACCAGCAATGTTATATCATAAGATAATATATAGCGAGACTTCCCCAAGAAAAATGTTCATTCCTACATATTTTATGTCAATTTTTATATATTTTATATTTATGTTAAATATATATCTTTCGCATTAGAAAACTAATTAAAATTGTACGGCGTCAAGCTTGTCAATATTATCTTTTTCACGATTCCGTGCATTCGTCTATTTTATATAATATTGCCGCACATATATTTCCGCAAAAAAGTTAGATGGATTCACATTTACGAGAGAATTTTATGATTCCATCGTCGGCACATCACCGTGTTCTACCGATGGAAAACAGCTTTGCAGTCGTTTGCTAGCACTTTCGATCCGGCGTCTGCTGCACGATAAATAAAAAAAAAGAAAATCACGCAGAAAGAGGAAAATGTGTAGGCGGATAAATTGGCATACGTCTCGTCTTTGGAAGGACAATTTCGCGAAAGTGTTGGAAAAATCTTTGTAATGGAGGATCGGAAATAATATAAAGATCATAATGAAACGTATACATGTAACTTCATGTGTATACTAACGGTAATTTTTATATAAATATTTAATGAAGACATACATATACACAGAAAGCAAGAGATGCAAAGATATTTATGTTATAGATCGAAGTTATGCTCTCAGGAGGGCTCGCGTATAATTTGATCATTTAGATTATATTCATTAAAAAATAAAAAAAAAGTTGGAATGAAAGGCGTTTAATGCGTTAAAGCCGATAACGCACGGATGTTCGTTACGATGCCAAGAGAGATGAAAAGGAGAAAGAGAGGAAGAAACGAGGAAAGAGATGCTGGTTTCTCTCGTGTAACCAGAAGAAAAATCTTGGTTATATTTCACATGACGTCGAAGCGGTTTTCTTATGTATATATAAAAGAGAGAAAGAGAGAGAGAGAGAGAGACAGCGTATATGTGCGCGTGCGAGATACGCACCTACCAGCACGTACATACACGCATGTCTTATGCTCCTCTCCCACGAAGAACACGAACCGTTCCGTGTCTTTGTCGTTCTCGTCTTCGTTTTTCATCGCTTTTTCCTCTTTTTTTCAGGGTCTTTCTTAATTGCTTTCCAGAGGAGTGAAGACGATCTCTCTTGTCTCGTCCTCATCCTTTCCCGCCATCTATCTCTTAATACCACCTATAGTTGCCTGCCGTTAGTTAAATACAAAAGAAAAGACTATTGGATGAAAAAGTTACGTCACACATTTAAAAATTTTGACTATTCACCTGTCTTAAAATTCTAAAAATCTAAAACGGTGGTTCAAATATTATTTCACGTGAAATACAATTGTCGGAAAATTATCTTGGATTCATTTGATATTCTAATACTTTATTAGATTAATTTTCAAATATTTATTATTTAAGAAATATTAAATATGCTAATTTAATCTTATTAGGAATCTTAATAGGAATTAGCATCATAGAATAATAAATTAGCAGTATAAGCAGTATATATGTGGCATTTTTAAAAATATGAAAAGATGTAACATATCTCAAAATGTAATTATAAAGAATTCATCACGTTAATTGCTTTAATATTCTAATAATCAATATCTAGAAACCGTCTGGAAATTGTATATAATAACAAAAATTGATAGTGATTTTATTAATTAAATAATATAAAAAAAAGATATTTGGCACGACGACAAGCGGAAGTGACGATTATCCGCAACGGTTACGTAATCACCACGTTACATCGAAACAGAATGATACGATCGAAGAAATATGACAAAAAATAAAATACATATTTATACTCGATCTACGATATGCTCAATCTTTCCAAGATGAAAGAAAATTGATTGACACAGCTTTTCGAAACGCAACGAACGATGACAGCAAACGCCGTTCGTGCGAATAATCAAACTTTGTTCGTTAATTGGTAAGCGTAAGTGTACGGATATGATTATCGAGTATACGTTCATAAATATTAATGTTAGAATCACGCTACATCGTATCTACAGACTCTCGTTTCATACGAGAGAAGCATCCGGGCGGGCTTGTCTATCACGCAAATACCGCTTCTCACGTAGATGGAAGCGCGTCAAGAGTGATCCGCTCGATTACTCGATCCCGATGTATCAATTAAAGTTCCGGTGAGATCAGTACAATCAGGCGATGCGGGCAACGTGAAATACCGACATTCGGGAAGAAACGCCCACGTTCCTGGAAAGTGACGGGAAAATAC